GGAGAGATCCAAGGCGTTCGATTCAGGGCTTATTGGTGCACAAAATTGGTGGTGCACGGCTGCGCTCCCCTCTTCATTCATACGTCACACGGTCACTGCCGGCTGACCTATACGCGTCTTCACTGACTTCTGTAAGGATGTTTAAATTTATGTGTCAGTGAAGAGGTGGCGAGTGTTCTAACCGTTCCTCGCATAACATGAAGGGTTTGTGTGCCAGTGAAGAGTAGTATTTTTTTACAACTTTCCCCATAGATCGAAAAAATTTAAGTAACAGTAAGAAGTGGCTGATAGCCGCCTCGTGGATGCTTTGTGATAAATTTTGGGCACTCCTTCAGCTAAGCGGGTACCGATACAAAAAATTTTCGGTTATTTCTTTTGACGTAGAAAAGACTCCAAAAACCAGCTTTTGAAGAATCTGAGTTGCTGGCTAATCGAATTTGAGTCCCGCTGCCTGTTTATCAATTTCAAGTGAGACTAGGGTGAAAATTTTATGAAAAGTTGGTGAAATATTAATAACATTCGATCCAGTTGCGAACTATTCAAGTTTCTTCTTTAACTGTTCAATTTCTTGCAACCCGACTACATCCTTCTATTCATATTGACACAGAGCTTCGGACATATCGTACTCGGTAAGCTTCTTCCTAGGGGCTTGAATCTTTTCTACCCCTGACGTTGAGGTATATGCTATGAAAATAGTTCAACATGTCGCTCTTGTGTATGCATTCAGGCTGAAGTATATGTCACTTTGAAAACTAATTATGTTAAGACTATCATTTTTATAAAATGCAATCTGCTGCATTGCCTTTTGCGCTAGAGATAAAATTAGGTTTCGCAAATCGCTCTGATCAAATGTATCTATGCTAGTACGTCATTGCGCATCGAAACAGAGATGAATGTTTAGCCTGCGCGGAAGTATTGTCGTAAATGTATTAAGCTCATTGTTCACATCACCGCACAGGTCATCGTGAATGTCTCAATCGTGTGTTGACATTCAACCTTCATTCGTTTACAATGCCATTCACCCTTCATTTATTTACAGTAATAGAACGCACTAGATCGCATTAGAAGGCACTAGATCGTAATAGCATTCTATTAGACACTAGATCGTAATAGAACGCACTAGATCGCATTAGAAGGCCCTAAATCGCCTTATAACGCATTAGTACGCACTAAATTGCTCAAAACCAGATGAGGACGTACATCGGGACAAGCTAGATCACCCAGATGCGGACGTACGCCAAGACAAGCCAGATGCGGACGTACGGTACGTCGGGACAAGCCAGATCACCCAGATGCAGACGTACGTCGAGACAAGCCAGATGCGGACGTACGCCGGGCGTGTGTGCCAATGACCTTATTTTAGCTCTTTGTACGCCGCGTTGTACGCCAGTAGAAGGGCTTGGAGCCTCGTTTACACCGGATTAATCCGCGGAAAACGGCACCATCCTGGGTATGGAGTGCAAGTCACCCAGTGAGAACATCAAAAAATGTGTCAAAGTTGATAGTTGACCTTGCTCTACCAAATAGTGATAGACTGTTTGTGTAGAAAGAATATAATGGTTTGAGACTTTTAAATAAGTCTGTGAATATATTAGGAATCCTTTAAGTATACTTGTATTTGCTGATTTCAAGTGGTAAATAAATTAATAGGTGATTAAGTTAAGAGACGGTTTTAGATACATAAAAACTAATTCTGACACAGCTTGGAATTCGACACAAACAGCTCGTTCTGAGCTGTGTGCAAAAATTAAAATTTTCTTGATTAAAAGCTTAATAGCTCTTAATTAAAAGCCTAATTAAATAGTGTTCAATATTCAATAGTGTTCTAAGACTAATTCCAAGTTGTGTTGTATTCCAATACGTACAGCTCACACAGCAATTGGTATTCGAACACAAGAGTGTCGGAATTACGAATTAGTAGAGTTTGAAGCACGGCCGGAATTAGTCTCACAAAATGCCAAATTTAGCCACACACAGCGTCGGAATATATGGATTTGGTTGGTTTGCATTCTAAAGGCTTTTAAATAAATATGGCAACATTTTTTGACGTTTCATTGTTGCTGGCGTGTAGTGCGGTGTTTTGAACTTGAGTTGCGCATATGGTGATTTTTTTTATAGCCACTCATTTTTTGCTACACCCTTAATGTGTCGGAATATACTGCGTTTACCCTAGTTTATATTTATAATTTAAGAAAAAATTTTCCAAATTTTTCTATATGGACTGGAGGAAAAGATAAAAATATCTGTGTGTCTGCCAATATGGTCAATATTAAACAGAAGTTTCCTAAAATCACAGGTAGAAACAATTGTTTTTTAGGTAATTTTTTCAATTTGACAAAAATACAGGCCTGGAATATATCTGCTTGGTGAGCTGTAACTGGATTTTTTGATCCGTGGTTTGTGGATTTGCCATCCGCAATTCCATTTCTTTGAGCGGTGAATCCCATATCTTGGCCATGTAGAGCCATTTACAAGCCGCAAGCTTATTAACAAAGTCCTGTGCACATGTTTCCCATACCCCAAATCTCTTATTTTACCATAAAAACTGCCAAACAGCAACAATAACATTTGTCTTTACTTTAGTGGCAGCTAAACATGTGGTAAGGCAGTCTGACCGCTCAGATGTGACTGCAACTATGCGATCTTAAACACAATGTTATGGGTTGACTCGTTATCATTACATTTGGCAGGATATTTCGGCGTGAGCATTGAATTGATGTAGATTGCAGAAGTTGGAAATTTTATGAAAAATAAATGACGTTAGTCTAATGTCATGTATTTTTCTAATCTAATGATTAGAGCCCTGAGATTTCATACCTACTGAAATTATATGATATTAGAGCCGTGATATTTCAGAAAAAATAGGACTTTTCACAACTTTTAAAAATAGACTGTATATATTTGTTATTTTTAACTGAAAACTCATGAGAAGGCCTTGGAAATGGACAAAATTGTCATTCATGTCCAATTCATGGGAGACTTCTCTTCTGCCAAATTTTCAACTTTAGTACACATTAGCAAGTTTTTCTGATTTACAAGTGGCTTCTGCTAGATTTTTCAGTTAGGGCCAATATCCTAATCTGGTATATTGGGTAGAATTTAAGAAAAAATTATGAGGAATGTGATCATTTCAGAAGTGATTTTAGAAATTTGCAGGCAAAATGCAAGCAATGTGAAATGTGTAAGGCCAGACTGCATAAAAGCAAATAAGGAAATTTTTAGAATCACTTCAGTTGAATAATTTTTAGAATCAGTTCAGTTAAATAATTTTTAGAATTAGTTCAGTGAGCAATGCTGATAACATCCATGGTCAGCAAAAAACTCTAGTTTGCCACTATTTGCCAGAGGATGAGGACTGTGGAAAATTGTCCTTAAGCATTAGCATTTTAGTCTCATTCATTGGTGGCATTGGCCTGATTTTTTTGTTTGGTCTACAGCTATTCTTTTCTATCCATAGCTTGACAAAATTTTGTGGCTTATAAACTTTTTCAAAGCCTGATGATTTGCCTGGAAAATCAAGAAGAAGCCACCTACAAAGAAGCCAAAACTTCAGATATCTCTTAACTAGTTTCATCCATCTCCATGAGTGTTGCCTGATTTTCATTATCATTATGAAAATTTAGTCAAATTGCTCATTTTCATTCATAGTTTTTCACGAGGGACTTGAGGAGCAGTTTTTACTCAGGGAATGTCATAATAAGGTTCCAGATTAATAAAAAAATTGATTTCAGGCTTTTATGTATATTTTTTTGAAGCTGCAAAATACAAAGGATTCCAAAAATGCATTTGTTTCTTTCATTTGTTATGAGTATTTTTCAGGATTGACAATGCTGAAGTAATTATTATTCTAGCTTTTAAAGTTACCTACCTGTTAGATACTATTCTCTGTGTTAAGTTATTCATTTGGAATTGTTACATGATTAATATCCATTATAGGCTTGCGTGCTGGCAGCAAGGAGTTGTGCAGAAGCCGCTTCCTGCCATCTTCTGAGCTGTGTAGAGCATTTGCTGTTGTACCTTTCAGATCTGCTATTGGGAGTTCATCAACAAGCAGACAAAACAATTTATTTCCTCAAGTAAGTAATGAGCTTTATGCTGAACAGGTTTTCATGAAGTTATATTCCTATGCATTATTCATGCTTTGAAGGAAAAGTTTGGCAACTGCATTTTCTTCAATTTAAAAATAAAAAATATTTTCAATTCAATTTAAAAATGAATAATATACATTTAAAAATGACTTTTTAAAGACAACACTTCTAAAGAATCCAGTGTCTCCAATCTTACAAATGTACAATGAATTTCTCATTTAATTTTCAAATTAAAAAATTAGTTTTTCAATTTTTTTTAATATATAAATTTCTTAATATATAATTTTTTTCAAAATTATTTATTCTATTAATTGATTCATGCATTGCCTCTGACTTCACACAAGTGTGCAAAATTTCAGATCAATCAGACACGTAAAAGTGTGTCAAATATCAGTTATAAGATTTGTAGCTGATAAAATTATTTTTTCAATTTTTTTAATATCGAAAAAAATTTTTTTTTTACTTTTTAAAATCATTTATTTTGACATTTGATTCATGCATTGTCTTCAACTTTACACAAGTGTGCAAAATTTCAGATCGATAGGATAAGTAGAAGTGTGTTAAATTTTGATTACAATATTTGTAGCAGACAGACAGACAGACAGACAGACAAACAAGAAGTGAAGTTAAAGAGAAGTGTTGTAAAATAATAAAAATGATGGTTCATGTAGTCCTGTAGGCTAGGTCACTTGCTCAATTAAAGAAACTGCTGAGATCTTGAGGGTAGTCAGGTTACTGGCTTTGCTGGTTGTAGGTTACTCAATGATTAAATTTGTGATAATTGCAAAAATTGCCTCATCTAGTATATAATTGCTGTCTTGTTAATGAATAGGCAAGAATAATTTTCATTGTTTATTGGTAGGTTATTGCGTGTGTATTTAATGTACAATAAATAAGTGTGTGTCCATTTAATGTACAATAAATAAGTGATATAAGAGATTGGTAAAGATAAAATTGTGTTCAGCAATTTTCAACAGAATTTTGTGTCCATGTATAGTAAAAAGATATTCTATATAATAATAATATATATCTATAATCTCTTGTAACTTATGTTGTTCTGCATAAATATTGTTTGTTCCTAACTGTAGCCACTGATTTTTTGAAGCATTATTATTATTTTTTTAAGCCTATTTTTCTAGAAGCCAATAAACTTTGGTCAGAAAATTCAAATTTCCCTAATTTTTCTTAGTAAGTCAAAACAAAGGATTGTGTATGATAAAATAAGGGAAGAATCATAGAAGGAAATCATAAACCTAGAAGGAAATATTTGTATAAAACCAGATACCTGTGGGACCTCTCATTACTATATCTATACTTACATATAAATGATATAAGTATAATGAGTTGGTGTCTCCAGATTCCCCAGGTACAGCACACTGTTGTCCGCAGCTCAAGTTCAGGTGACCACGTCAAGCTGTGGACAGCTGAGCGAGTTCTGTCAGCTGTGTTGCTTGGTGCCATCCCTGCAGCTATTGCCATGCCCACTCCTGCTGTTGAGACTTTTCTTGCTCTCTCCCTCACTGTGCACAGCCACTGGTATTTCCATTTATAAAATTAGAGATTAGTCTAGATTTATGACGTTTGTACATCCTTTGTACTAAAATTCCAAATGGAATCCAATTTGAATTTAATTTCAATTCAAATTGTAGTTTAATTTACAATTATTGTGAAAATGATATTGCATGACAATTTTAGTGACATAAACAGTGTTAACTATAACTATATAAACTATAAGTTATAATAATGTTTACATCTTCTATTTTTCTTCAATTAGCAGCATGTGTCTGAGAGAAAGCAAAAAAAAAGAACAGTCCTGGTAAGGGAGACATTAGCTCATTATCGTGGAATTGCAAAGGAATTGGCAGGATATGAGGTTAACTGATTAGACTGCTTATAAAAAACTCATTTCAGAATTGATTACTTGTATGTATTTTGACTATACTCAGAATGATTAATCAGTTCACAGGCTTTTATGACTTGGAATGAATTCAAATATTTAGCATACTTGCCACTTTAATATCTCTGGGTGGTATCAATTAAAATACTTTTTTCTAAAATTAAATTCTGATGCTAAGAGTCGCTTCAGGTTGCTGCATATATGTGGAAATAATGAAAGAACAATTTGGCCTATTGAGGGCTTGTCTATATAATTATTTGAAGGATTAATATAATTAACCTAAATAGTGCATTTAACTCGTATTATTCATTCTTCTTTTAACAAGTTATCATTGCAGGGGCATCGAAGCACTGGTTCATGACTACGTTCGTCCATCAATGTTCGGCAACGTCATCCCGCGCCTGTCCATTGCCGCCGTCTATGGTCTCTCCATGATGACGTTTGGCAGCCTCTGCTACTTCATCTACACCGACGTTGGCCTGATCAATGCGGTCTCTATCTTCTGGAAATTATAGTCAACTTGTCAAACGCTGAAACTTGTACAATTTTTAGTTCAACTTTCAAGAACTCGAGAATAGCTGATAGCATTTGTGGGAACTATGAAATGAAATTTCTCATTCATTCGGCTAAAAATTTTAATTCAAGTTATAGTAAAATAATTTGGTTTGGGGCAAATGAGTTCCTTAATGTATGGCAACTTGATATCTTAGGATTGTCCTCATGCTTTGGGCCGCTACCTCTTAACCAAAGTAATATTTATTATTGAGAAGTTTTTTAGGCGATTTGTTTGAAAAGGTTTTGACTGAAACTGCTTCCATTATAAGTTATTCATAATTTTTCTGTACTAGTTTCCACTTTGCTTCATTCGTGCAAAGACATACCTACAACATTTTAATTTTGCATCTTCGCAATGGGAGATCTAGTTTTTTTATAGTTAATTTGGTTCATTTTTGATCTGCTTATACATACTCGATGGTTAGATGAATCATTCATGGTTTTACCTTTTTTTGGCAAAATTTATGAACTGATTGATGATGTAGTTACGAAGCAGGTCGGTGTACACCATTTTATGATAGTAAACCTGTCGTGTAGTAAATGAAAGACCGAGTAGTGCTCCACTGTGCAGTCGACGTGTCAGGTTGTTTTACCCACAATGAACGCACTCAGATATCTGAAGGCATCGAAAGAAATAATAGAATGTCACCTGTAATTAAAATTTATTTAGTACTTTCATTTGTCAGGAAAATAAAGAATAATGTAAACAAGATAGCGAAGCATATTTCTTCGAGATTTATTATGAGTGTATGGACATAGGCTCAAGCTGTTGTTTTCCATGATGAAAAAAAAAACAGATTCATTTATATACGTGGAAGCCATTTAGTGGAGATTTCTAGACTTGCCTCAAAAATCTTATGGTATTTCCACGTACGAAAATAAAAATTGAAGAACATCTCAGGAAATAGGTATGAAGCTATGCCTCTGTTACGATGGTACGCGTTTTCCTTCGTTTTAATTCACATAGAATTAGCTATTCTCACTGTCATGAAGTGCTCTCATTTTTTTTATTCAATACTATTGAACTGTATGCTTTGTATGCTTCGCCTGCTTCATTTCATGTTATCCGTTGTTGATAATTTACAAAGAAATGTGATGCTGGATTATTATTGTTGAGTGTCAAATTGACGATCATGGTCGACTGTTATCCATTGTACAGAATTTTTTTCCTCATTACCAAGTTGTTTTATTCCAAAAATTAAATTGTAAAATTATCTAGCTTCAGTTTATAACGACGGTAAAACGAGCTCTGATTTAATGCGATGTTTGGACTCGGAGCCCTCGGCTTCTGACGCGTGTCTGTGCTCGTCAGAAGTCCTATGGGATTTCGCGCTCCTAGAGGGATTGTTCCTGAGCGCCCCACCGCTGAGCTCGCGGTTTCTGACTGTTGGTCTCAGTTGTGGGGTTAAGTTATTATGTAGGCAGGATTCCTTACATTTCCCTTCTCTTTCTCTCTCGTGCGGGCGGTTGACGTACCGTGTAAGCGATTTCTTGTTCGAGTGTCTTCGTTTTTGTTGCTTTTCACTGGTCCCTCCTTGTCACTTCGTCTCTTTGAGATGCTAACGATGCTTCCTTCGAGCCAGCTTCAGAGGGCTGGACAGTTGAGACCTTCCGCCCCTTGTGGGCGATGGATGATTTTTTTATTAATTCAGAAACTTTCGAAAAATGAGACCTTCCACCTCTTCGATGATGTTCATCTTGGCTTTCGGTGCGAGATAGCTGAAGCGCTAGTAAACATTTGGCCACTAACTAACTTGGACTCGAAGAACCTGCGTCATCCGTATCATGGTTCTGGAAATAGTGCGGTCAGCGTGTACGTGGCAATTTGAAAATTTTACTTTCAGATAATTATTCGTTTGGGCCAGATCCCAATCGTCTCGCGAAAAGCGACCATTACTATCGCACACATTTTGTTTTCAGTTGACATGATTGAATTCGTATCAAATAATTGTTGAAGAAAAGTTTTTCGTTTGAAACAAAAAGTTAACTAATGCTTCACTGCAATGGAAAAAAAATCTATTTAAAAACATCAGGCTTGATTCGACGGCAGTTTTTAGCAATTCCACGTTTTTTCCTAAGCGTAAAGAAACTTATCCTTTCACCCCTACTGAAATGAGACTGCACATAGCAGAAGTTCTTGAAATTATGGCCGAATTGTGCGATATCTTCTAAGCTTAGAGAGTAGAAAAAACGCTGACATTACACACAGTAGATTCTGGTCTTCTAATTGACGGAATAATTCTGGTGAGGAGCTTCAGACTGGAAAATGGTTGCTCTCAAACCAAGTAATGGTGCCATATTGACATTTCTGGAGGAATAACATTAGTTCTATGCGAATTATATATTATTTTTTTTACAAACCTCACGATTGAGTCATGAAGTTCCAAAGTTCAAATTCGTGACTCTGGTGCGGGCTCCACGTCTCGGACAAATTTACGACCGGTCTCGCGGAAAATCAAAAGGGAAAACCGAAAAAATTGTCCCGAGCTAAACATCACCGTTGGGAGGTTAGGTATTCATTCACATACGAAGTTTCGTTCTAATCTGTTCAGTATTTAAGGAAAAATTGCTTGCTCACTGCGAATTTAAGCACGTATTGCTGTTTAAATCACGAATGTGGAAAAAAATGAAAAAAAAAACTCGCGAATGAAGGCATAATTTCAAAAATTGTAACGATCTAAACATCACCGTTGGGCGATTAGGTTTGTATATTCAAAGTTTCGTTCAAATCTGTACAGTAGTTTAGAAGACATTTTTTGCTCACTTCAAATTTCGGCACGTATCGCCATATAACTCACGAATGAAGGTGAAAGTTTAAAAAAATTTCACGAGCTAAACATCACCGTTACGTCCTAATGAATACGTCCTAATGAATATGTACCAAGTTTCATTGAGCTACGTTCATCACTTCGGGAGATATTCCTTGTTCACTGGGTTTTGGGGACCGGCCGCGAGTCCGGCCGTAAATTTGTCCAAGGCTTCCTGATCGGCCACAGTACAGCAATATTTTTCACTCCTTCAACGTGGATGAAACCCATGGTTGAATGAAACCCTCATAGACTAAACCAAATTATTAAAGTTTAAAAAAGTAAAAAGGGATATCGAAAACTTTACATTTACCTATTAATAGTGAATTGGGGGTCTCTCTGGCATTTGATTATGATCATATTTTCCCGTTTTCTAAATCATCGCGCATGAATCGTTGACCAATTTAGCATTACTGCATTAGTGTGCGAGACACCGGGAGGGAAGGTCATAGCAATTTTGAGTTATTTGGAAATGTAGACTGTAAAGTTTGTCGTTTCCCGAAATTAATGATGGTGGTTAAAGTATTTGAACGATTTTGATGCTGGAAAGACAATAGTTAACACCAGGAATTCTCACTGTTCCTTATACTATATATTGAAATTCTGGGAATATATTGAATATTGATACAATATATTGTTTTGAAATTCAAAACAATATATTGAAATATTGTTTGCTTTGAAAATACGATTTGCGATAAGTTTTTTCAGTGTTTTGACTGCGTGACTGTGCTTTGCCAACGTTCAGTGTTTTTTGCCGTTGTATGTAAAAGTGTGTTTTAGTGTTTGTAAAGTGGGACAAACAAGTGTAATCATGGTTAATTCAACCATGATCGCAACGTTCATCGTAACAGGCAGATACTTTTCAGAGTCTGACCCGCGAGTCCATCTCGGCTTACCTTCAAACTTATCAAATCCGCCTGGGTATGATTACCAAGCCGAACCGAGCAAAATAAAGGCGAGCCGAGTCATGGCTCCCACTGCTGGCTGTGCACGTTTCTGTATTGTATACTCGGGTACTTCTGTTTATTCTGGTACTTTTGTATTGTATACTCTTGTATACTCGGGTATCGGTTCACTGCAGTGTTCGATCAGTTAAATGCAGTGGCATCGAATTCGTTAGTACTATATGCGTTACGCTGAAGACCTAAATATGATATTTTTTTCGTTATGACCGACTAAACATTCTCCAATTATTTTTTGAAGCTTTGTAAAGCATCCTAAAATACTTTTTAATGTCATTAGCTGCTATCCTTCATAATAAACTTTAAATTCATGTGAATAAATCTCGGTATTTTCAGTAGTAATTGATTTTTTGATGAAATTCCCTTTTTTTCATTCCTTCATAAATGCATTTACATTGTTGAGTGGAGGTGAATTGTCTTGCGTGATCATTGCTGCGGCTCCTGAATATTTAGCTATTAAAAAAATATTTTCCTACTTGTTTTTTACAAATTTTGGTTTTATCTGGAAAATTATTCAATCGGTGCATCTTACCGCAACCCCAATTTTGAAAGAAAACGTACCCTATTAACTTAGCACTTCTCGTCCCAAAGAGCTTAAATAAAACGATACTCGTCAATAAGTTCTTCTCCCGCTTCCTTTGTACCACTCGGACACTTTTAGCCTGAAATTTTTAACGTAGTTATGAGACAAATTTTCAAAGCACGTTTCCCAAGCATAAATTTGTTGAAGCAAAACCCATCTTGATATAACTGAAAAAGCGATTTATTCAATTGTTTTAAAATTAGACTTCACTCAAATTTAGCGATTTAACGAAACCCTTGAAATGGTCAGTTTATAGACGCCAAATATTATCCGGTTTGGGCAACATATTTTCAATATTTCGAAAATCACGTACTATTTTGAATGCTGCACCATATAATATGGCTCATAGACGATCAATATTTTTACCGAACAAAAATGATTGAGTTATAAATGTTTATGGGCTGCTTACTAACTAGCATACCAAAGCCTCGTCTTGCCTTGCCATTCATCACTTCATCTGGGGCCATACTTTCAAAACTCGCTAAGTGAACGTAAGTACTTACGCTCTATTTTCTTGTCTATGATTGGTGGATACTTTCAAAGCTCGCTATGTGAACGTAAGTACTTACGCTCTATTTTCTTGTCTATGATTGGTGGATTTTGTTGAAAGGCCGTCAATGATAGGCTAATGAACTTACGATCTCTTAACTTTTTTTGAAGGTATTGCCCACTGGCAGCTTGTCATAACAATGGAAACATGAAATTCATTTTAACCCATGTCGTACTGCATAGGTATCACTGGTCTCACACTCAGTTCAATTGGAACGGTGCCTGAAAGGGTAAACAGGCGTTAACGCAATTTAATTCTACTCAACAATGGAGAAAATGTTGAACTAACTTTTGTCAGACTAAATTCTGTGGTCGATATTTGTAAACTGTGAACATGTATGGTATTGCAGGAGCATCTAATCATACAGCATTACGATCAAAATGTCTTTGAATATAAAGTGGACAGGTAGCTGGGGAATTCACAAACGCTAACAATAGTACAGTTTACTAACAGTTCCTAGACAACATTTACATTAAAAATGAACATCACTTAATTGTTCAAATGGTACAAAATGTTCTAGTTATTTTTACGATCGTGTATCGTCATCTTCACTGCTTTGTGGAAATAAATCAAAGGAGTTTTGTTTATGTAATCATTTCGGCCATTAGTTTGTTCCTCTGCTTGACTCTCTTGTGCTTGTTGCCGGCGAGATGCACCTGCCACTGATGCTCGCCTATAAAGACGCGGTCGCAGTCGCTGCACGAGTGCCGCGTCGCCCGACCTGACAGGTAAGACGCTCGTTAACAACTGAATATATATATATATAACCTCTTCTGTCTATTATAGGGCGTCTGAAAAGAATATAGTTTTGAACAGCTGGGGCCATACTTTCAAAATTCGCTAAGTGAACGTAAGTATTTACGCTCTATTTTCTTGTCTATGATTGGTGGATTTTGCTTGAAAGGCCGTCAATGATTGGCTAATGAAGTTACGATCTCTTGAAAGTATAGGCCCAGATATAGATATTTAGCATTCTGCCATACATGCGTACAAAACTCGCGAAAAACTAAATTATTACGACGAATTCCAGTTTTCACTCGTATAAAGTTTAGTGTTGAAGAAGTTTATTACATAAAAATTTCACATAAAATCAGGTATTTCAGTGAATTTTTAATCTTCCGTCTCGAGGCAGCATAAAATATTGACAAATGTATTCCAAATAAGGATATTTGAGTGTTGCCAGACACCTAATCATAAAAGCGATTTCATGATTTAATAAAGTGCATTTTGCAAATAAGTATATGTATGAGTAATACAGTAATAAACATACTGAGCAATTAGATAGCAAACAATAAATAACTTTATTGTATGATTCTAAATTACTAGTACTAGTACTGATAAATTCAAGGCAGGAAAAAGTTCATTTGGTAGCAACACAAGGGTTAGGTGAGGCCAGACCAGGATAGATTTAGCTAGGTTAAGATGGGTTAGGATAGAGTAGGTAAGTAAGATTAGAGTAAGGTGTGGATAGAGTAAGATAATATTTCGCAGGTTAGGATAGGATAGGATAGAGTATGTAAGATTAGGACAGGAGAGAGTAGGATAGGTAAGGTTAGGACAGGAGAGAGTAGGTTAGGTAAGGTTAGGACAGGAGAGAGTAGGTTAGGTTTAGGACAGGAGAAAGTAGGGTAAGGTAGGTTATGACAGAGAGTAGGGTAAGGTAGGTTAGGTTAGGACAGGAGAGAGTAGGGTAGGTTAGGACAGGAGAGAGTAGGGTAGGTTAGGACAGGAGAGAGTGGAGTAAGGTAGGTTAGGACATAGAAAGGTACATACAGTAGGTATGGCAAGGATGAGAGGATAGCTTGGTACAGGATGATAGAGTAGGTTAGGTTGGGTTTAATCAAACCAACCCTTCCTGCTCTAGCCTCTATCCTACCTACTTCACCCTATCCTGTCCCTACCCAACCCATTCCATCCTGTCCTATCCCGACCGAACCAACTTTATCCTAACCCTACCCATTTTAACCACTCTCTATCCTATCCCAACCTAACCTAGTCTATCCTTTCCCAAACCAACCTCCTCTATCCTGTCCCATCCCAACCTAGCCTAATCTATCCTATCCCAACCTACTCTTATCATATCCCAACCCAGCCTACTTTATCCTATCCCAACTCAACCCAACCTAACCTAGCCTACTTTATCCTATCCCAACCCAACATACTCTATCCTAGGTTAGGTTAATATAGGATAGAGTAAGCTAGGATAGGATTGAGTAGGTCAAGTTAGAATAGGATAAAGAATGTTAGATTAGGATAGAGTAGGTTACGTTACGTTAGGATAGGATAAAGAATATTAGGTTAGGATAGGATAGAGTAGAGTAGAGTAGGTTGGGCTAGGATAGAATAGAGTAGGTTATGTTTCGTTAGGATAAGATAGAGAAGGTTGTTATATATATAATAATATAAGATAGTAAGTTGATGATGAAAGTCTTCTAACGAAACATCCAAAATAATAATGAATATCCACTAAAAAATTTCCAAGATACACTTACTCATTATTTCTTCCTTAGTTTTAGGAGTCGTGGTGACAGGAGTTATGTCGGGAGGAGGTGCGTCGCCAGCGATCAGAGCCTTCACTATTGCTGCCGCGGGCGCGTGAACCGCCGTGTCCCAGTCGCTCGGGTTAGTCGTGTCCAGCGCGTACATGCGGGGCACCTGCGCACCAATGACGTGCTTCACTACGCTATATGCGTAAAAAATGCCGAGCATTATCTAACGGATGTTATGACAAAATTTTTCCCACTACATGCCTTGTCATTGCAAAAAACAGTATCTTTGAATTTTCATTAAGTATTAATGAAACATAAGGCCAACACAACGAGCAGTAAAAAGTATCACAATTTCTCAGCTTACCTCTCTTTCGAGAACGTTCGTGAATCTATTCTTTATCCACTTGATTTGGCGTCTGGCATACCTCCGCGTCACCTGCAAAACACCATACCATGGTAATTAACACAATACCTACTGAAGTATTTGCATTAGATTCTAAAAAATCACGATATTTTATTTTTATTCACGCTCAAGGAACCTCTGAGAAGCATAGTCCTCAGGACGAGTTAACTTACCGTCCCGAGCACTTAGCGTCACGAATATTAGGGTGAACAATAGGGTAGTGCTAACCTAGCGTCAGGGCATGAGGGTGAACATAAGGAAAGTGCTAACCTAGCGTCGGCATCATTAGGGGTGAACTCTAGAGTAGTGCTAACAAACTCTCGATTAGAACAACAAACAAACTGTAGATTAGAAAACAATTAGGGTGAACTATAGGATAGTAACAAACTTGAGATCTCGTCAACTAAAAGATCTGTACTAAACACCCCATCTGACGGCTTTCTTAAATGACTCTGCGTCAATCATATCTATAATATCAGTGAGGCTAAATATAGCATATTAATAATTTCAGTCTCACCAGCTTCAACAGTTCCACGCCGTTTTTGTACTGCATCATCCCTTTCTCGGATTCCCTCTCTTGGGGCGGTAGAATGAGGTAATCGTGGAATTCCTTGAATCCGATGCTCTGGAAAATACCTAGCGTATAATCCGCTACAGGCTTCGTCGTGGTCGAAGATTTCTTTGGAGGGTTTAGCGTTTTGCTGATACTCGTGCTGCTGATTTCACCGTTCTGATCATTGTCACATGCATTATCTCCTGACTTGTCTTGGCTATCTTCGTCAGCACTTGAGTGTTCTCTCTTAGACCTTTTACAGACTGGCTGACATTCCGCGCTGAGAAGACGTTTGCCGACTTCACGAGCCTCAGTATCCTTCAAATCTGAGGACTGTGAGACGGGTATACGTTCTCCTGCGACGTGATCTACGGTCGTCTCGCATCCCTCCCACTTCAGTCTTTGCTTGTTGTATTGGTCATGGAAGTCCAACAGCTCCGCGATGAGTCCTTTTTGAAGCATCTCATCAACACGGTTGTCTAAACGCTTGTTAAGAACCTCCTGTAATGTGAACATAACGTCAAATTTGAACTTCATCACACTACTTTCTGTATCAGAATTTCTAAGTGTAGTTGACCACGTAACAGCTAACTTACAAAACTGCAAAAAAGTTACAATATATATGAAATCAACAAAAGCCATCATCGTAGCCTCGTAGCCTAAGTTCCTTCACAAGAGAATTGAATTGAGAATAAAATCTACTGATTCTTATCATATTACCTGCTCACAGGTGACCCAGAGCACGACTGTATTAGAGAACCGCAAGCCGCCCCCCAAAACGCTGCCGCCCTCCATCTGTTTCTGACGTAACAAATGCTCGCTGTGACGCACGCCCGTGTTCTCCCATATCTCTATGGATCTGCAAGAGAACGGTCTTCGAATTAACACACGCATCGTTTTAATGATGCGCCATGAATGATAATGATGAATGGTAATGATGAAAATTCAATCGTTTCTCTTAAATTTCAAGATAATTGTATATTTGATGTTTTCTTGTATTATAACAGGTAGATTTAAATATTGGTGATTGCAACAGTTATCAGAAAACGAAAATAACTGAATGGGGGAAACGAAATGAGATGAATTTTGACGATTATTTATATAAATATTGAAAAAATTATCACCACAATCTGAATGGTGCCTTTAGCCAAGTACACATACACATTCATATATCTAACTATTAATTGATTTTCATGTAAATTTTAATATCAAAATAGTGGCTACTTAGTATTACCACCAACCAATAGTACTACTACATCATAAACAACGGACAGACAGTACTCCAAAGTTTAAAAATTACTAAAAATTAGCTACATACGATACAATGCTGCACAATTAGAGAAACCGTAGGAAAAATAATAAACAGAGACCGTACTATAGCTACAATAACCAACATTACGCGTCATGCAGCAAGATTTTGCTAACTACATTTACGGATGTTTTACTAATCTACTTTTTGCGGCGCCGCAGACATGCACACGTATTTCAACCTCTATAAAAGTTTTAATTCCATTCTATCGTTTTTAGATTTGATCATTTTTACTTATCATTAGGGTTACCGTAACTTTAGTTTAACTTGATCAAGACACCGAAGTCGAGCCGCGACGCCCGGTCAAAGTGCACACAGCGGTATTTATAAAAAAAGCGATTTCAAATGAGATTTAATCATTTGCTTAACCTGAAAAACAACCACTTCTGAAATTATTGGAAAATGTATCTTGCAATCGATTGAAAACCTCTTTCAAGAGAAGCGAAGGAGAAAGGCCATGCGTCATCGATAACGTGGGCCAATCATTCTTCACAATTATGTGGGAGCGTTGGCGTCACGTTCATCTCGGCAGCGGCCGCCCACAACAAACGAAAATCCCGGCATCAAGTTTTTTTTCCAGGAGGTCAGGCGGAGGCGCAAGACTCCCCCCACAGCGTAGGCACAGTGAAATCAAGCCCCCCAGATATTTGTGGCGGGAGGGATAAGTGACTAGCGTCTGAAAAATACTGCACTCGAAGAAATTCGTGAGACTTTGCCCAAATAGCGATGCACTTTCGACCTCATATGGATCATCTTGACCCAGTTTGGCCAGAGAAATGTCGTATCAGCGCTACACGCAGCAAGTGTATCACTGTTTGGACAATATAACTCATAAATTTTTCAGAGTGCGTGTAAAGTTCTGGCGGTCTAGCACCTCACGCACCGCAGCACACGGCATCCGATGGTCCAAACCTTTCGTTTAGAGAGTTTTTGGTGGTCTGCAAATATTAACTCTAGAGAGCGAGGAAAAAAACGTCAAGATATTATGCTGATGAAAATTTTACGTTATGTTTGATGTCATTAAGCAGCTGAAATTATTATTATTATCAATGTTAATAAACATAGCATCAAGGCAGTTGGAGGAAACTCCAAAACAACTTACGCAGGTAATAATAGGGAAGCAAACAAGCAATGCAAACAGGCAAGGGATTAATAAACGTGAAATAAAAATAGAAGGTGCACAAGAGAAATGAAAACAATTAAAAAAAATATTTGACGTTAAAGCAATTTGCTTTTTAACACAGAAAATGACAAAATAATACAATCTCTTTATGCCAAATTCTTAGAAATTTAAAATTTCATTTATTATTTGAACGATATGACACTCACTGAATGTCTTGAGAGATTTCATCCATGCCACCGAGTAGCGGGTGGGATTCATCCACATCTTCTCAGTGGTTGGTGACATCAACTCAAGCTCACTGAGTGAGACTAAATTTTAGACGATTCATCAAAAAATTGTTAAGAGCAACTTGTTGAGCGCGTTTGACTATTACTGACCAGTTTCTCGTTGTCTCAATTCAGCGCTAAAACTCCGTATAATAAAATAACAGTGCACTTCCCATGGCCAAGTAACTGCTGTGATGTCAGCCAAACCCAATGATAAACGGGTGAAAAAACAACCACAATACATCACTGGCTGGTGTAAACTCAGCAGAACTTGGCCAATGCGTTAATTTGTTAGGGTGAAGAAACTAAAGACTACTTGAAACGACTGAACGCCTACCTCAGCTCTGTAGTAGAGCCAATGGTGATATATACCTGATTATTCTGCGGCGATCGTTGGGGTGGATGGCTTCCGCTCGTTGAGGGTCAACTCTGACGAGCCTTTGGTAGAGCGCATCAGTTTCTTCTGTCTCGTGAGAACGCTTCCTGATGGGACCAGGCAGGCGGGCGCCTGATCTCAACCCTCCAGGGCTACGAGTTGTAGTCGGTGATTCCGGGGAAATGTCCACCGTTTCGGGGGTGGAAACGTTACGCTTGTTCTCACTGACATTTGGGTCAGGCGCCTTAGAGCTTCCATCGTAACGATGAGAAGCAATAGGAACGCCTGCCTCATCACTTTGGTTTTGTGAGAACTCATCACAGACCTTACGAGCACTATTATTTAAATCAACCGACTCATGAACACTTTCACTTTTAAATTGAACTTCACTAGGCTGACAAGCCTGCCTCACAACGACACTGCTTAATTCTATATCACTCTGATCACTTTTAGCACTCGATTTCAACTTATTAGGCCTAGAACTCGGTATGACCTTAGAATTTGAGCTACCAACACTTCCCTCACTTATTGGATCGACAAGCACTTTCCAAAGAACACTCTCTATATAATAGTGGGTACCCCCAACAATCACTGGTAACTTTCCACTCTTGTGCAACTGCTGTATGATATCCAAAGCTCGATCCCTAAACTCGTGCACATAGAAATCATCAAGAGGGTCGAGAAAGTCTAGAAGGTGGTGCTTCACGGCGCGTTGCTCCCCTGCCGTTACTTTGTTGGTTATGATGTCGAGACCGCGGTACACCTGCAACAATAACACACGTATTTTAATTGACATCAAAATAGACAGTGTACATCAAGATCCCAAGTAAATGAGGCAATATAGGTCTCAAGAGCAAATAATAGGTTCATTTTTCGTAACATACGAGACTTTAAAATTGTTAATTGAATCCTTGATTTTTCAAGGTTAACTAGTTTAATTAGTATTGAGCTGTAAAAATGTGTGCATATACATTAATTATATATATCTATTTACCATCAAGATGGAACAACTAACGGATAAGGTAATCAGAATGTCTGTGCTTGTTTTTTTATGTGATAATCTTACTTTTGATCTTTTCGTTGGTAGATAAAATGAAAGAAGAAGACAGTCATGATAAAATGAGAGAAGACAGTCATGATAAAATGAGAGACGAAGTCAGATAGGCAATGATGTGATGATATTGGCTTTGTTGATGATTCGTTCTGGCAGTGATGATGAATAGGTGATTAAGACAGGAATGTTTGCATTTTAGATGGTGATATGTCTTGATGTGGGTGATTATGATGGAGGCGATGTAAATTGTAATTAGCATCTTAATATCGGTAATTATCTATGAAATTGGGCAATGAAAATAGTAATTCGCATTTTTATTGTTATTTTTTATCTGTGGTATGGAATATTATATTGGTTAGTCATATGAATGTAATGTTTGAGGAGTGAGATGTGCATTATATGAAATGATATAAATATATGAATTATATGTATCGTGATTTATATGAATTATATGGTGATATTATTGTGATTTTGATGGCGTTATATAGGTAATAAGTGGTGATTCAGGTTGGGATTTAGATGGGTAACTGAGTGACCAAAGTGACATGAGAGATGATTTATGAGGTAAAAGAAGTGATTTTGACTGATATATGGGTGATGTTAATTGTGACTACTGACTAGTATCATTATAGTGGAGGGGTGAAACAGACAGCGATATAGGTGACATTTACGATGGGACTCTAGGCGTTGAAATTAATGTAAAATTAATTTGACGTTGACATGTCATATAAGATGAGCAGCGACATTATTGATTCCAGTGGTAATATTCGAGATGACATCGAAGGAGATATGGAGGATGCGGTTGCATGATTGAATGAAAGCAAACAAAAGTTGAATTCAACAGACTTTATAGTGCATTGCTCATTTCAACACAAGCTGTCAGCATTGCGGTTCGTATTACAATAAGGTGTCGTTAAATAAGAAACTATTCAGAGCTACCGTGTAAAATATTAATTGAGTCACGTGGAAATGCGAAACATGTGGCAGCGGTGCTTAAAGCACACGAATGCGTTGTGTGCGACATTCTGACGCATTTAATGTCTCTAGTTCTCAAACGTGAAATTTTACTGGCGGAATTTTGACGCACGCATGAGCGATATTCGCTTATGATGATTTAACGTTATTCCGTAGCTCACTGAAAGTTTACAAGAAGCTGAAAAGAACGTACTTTAAAAATGGGGATATTCGCTAATGATTCTTTAATGTAGATTTGAACACAGAGGATTTCGGTTAATCATACGGCCAGATTGGGCAGCTTATTTGAGCTCAATTGTTAATTGAGAACCGAAACGATGTCCCGACTTGGCCTATGAGGCCGGCCGCGTGGCGTGACATGCCGGCTTCTCGGACCGTGGCGACGCGATCCGATCAACCGGAATCCACGGAAGTCGAAAATTCATGATTTTAAATAATTAATTCGTTTAATTTAATTAATTTATTGTTTAAAAGTTGCCATGTATGACGCAAGTCAAATGTGACTTGAAAAATTTACTTCAGATTGACAAGTCACGACGACAAATCTCATTTAACTAGTTTTTATAACCGCATAATTAGAAAAAAATATATATGTAAAAATATACTAGATGAAGTGGTCAAAGTTAGAGTTAGCTAATTATTGTAATTTAACTTATAAGTTAGAAATTGCAAACGTATAAGAACTAATTGCGCGTGATTTAACGTGGAGCTGCCAAGTGTATCTTACCCCGGAGAACGACAGCAGGAGCTCCGCACAAGACGAGCTGCGAGAGTGGACTGACCGCGCATTTATCCTGCACCATTAGAATAGAAGTGTCGGCGCTGAAGAAATAGGCCCATGGCCTATTTCTTGTCTGTCAGCCGTACACTTATTCATATATAGATTCATTTACACGTGGCCGGGCATCAGCTCTGGCGGTCTCGTTAGCAAACCTAAGCTACTCTGTTCGAAACCAAAGGTTCCATGTTGAAACCGTTATTAAGTGAGATAATTTCTTAACAAAATCAAGAACCATGTTTTTGCCTGGTACTGGTACCTTTGCAATGCTTGCTAGAGGTACCTTTGCAAGGTGTGGTACCTTATTCGATAGAAATAAACATATCTGAAGTAAACATTCTAACGAAGATATTCAAATTTTTGGTAACGCCGCACGATCCAACCAATCTAGAACGTTCAGTAAAAATCACGAAAGTCCACTTTTGTCAAATTATAAACAGTGAATATATCTGGATCAGACTGCAGAAATTTGCAAAATTCGATATAAATAAAGAAAGATGTAAAAACAGATGCAACGTGGAAATTTCATAGACACGTTTCAAAGAATATCAATATTCTTCGAACAATGGATCTCCGAACGTTGACGAATTACTATTGCAAATTTTAGTATGACTTGCATAAAAATGAATACAAGGAATGTTTTCACAATCATAATGTAAAATTTCCATTGAATTTTTTCCTGAATTTTAGCTCTATACGTGAAAAAATCGATCTTAAAAATCTTTCAGGATTAAAATACAGGGTGTCGGCGAATATAAGTCTCTTTCTAAGAATATCAATATTCTTCGAACAATGGATCTCCGAACGTTGACGGATTACAACGGCAAATTTTAGTATGACTTGCATAAAAATGAATACAAGGAATGTTTTCACAATCATAATGTAAAATTTCCATTGAATTTTTTCCTGAATTTTAGCTCTATACGTGAAAAAATCGATCTTAAAAATCTTTCAGGATTAAAATACAGGGTGTCGGCGAATATAAGTCTCTTTCTAAACAAAAGACTAATTTAAGAGTCTATGTCAATTCATTGCAAATGAGAACATTTTCAAACTTATACGGAAGAGTCGTTCGCATCGCAGAATCCAGCGTAGAATGTCACCTGCCGGTTACAGTGAGATGGAAGAGCCACGGCCTTTGTTTCTCTTACAGCATGACATGAAACTTCAATTTGCTTGACGATAAAACGTACTGTCAAGTGTTTGAATTCGTTGCAAAGATTTCCTGTAATCGTACTAGTATGCATTTGTTAATTATTAAGAAATAGGGAAGAGGGGGTTTAAGCTCCCTCCTGTCCGCGTAACAAGGGGGCTTACTTATTTAGTTTATAATCCTATTTATATTCATAATCCTATTTATATTATATTTATTTATATTTAATATTTAAGTAGTTTAAAAATATTGTAGTAATCTTTAAATACATACTGGAATATGAATCATTCTTTAAATTACGCATTTCATTTTATACCCACGAGAAATCTGTATGTTGAGTTTTATCACAATTATCATAAGAAAATATATCCGATTGTCCCTAGTCCAGTCTCAACGGTGGAAATTCAAATAATCGAAAAAATGTAAACAGTAGCAAGGTTTAAAATCGAAACATTGGGCATTTCAATAGACAATAAATGGAAAGAACCCATATTTCAGTAGACAATTAAATGAAAGAAACCATGAAATACTGCGTAGTTCCTAACGCCACGAGGCGACAAGAACCATACGCACAGGCGCGACGCGGACCACGTGGAATTTAGCCCCCAAAAATCTTCCCAGGAGTACCACGTGAAAAATCTTCACAGGAATACCATGCGGTGAACGTGTACAAGATGAACACGAATAGGAATGCTTATCAGAAATTCAATTATTAATACAACGGTATTAAAAATGTAATGCAATGAAAATCAGCTGTTCTCTAATTTCACGGTTAGTTCCTCAGTATTATACATTTGATTAGAAAACAAGCAGTAAAGAAAATCGCATGTCAACATGAATTAAATGAGAAAGAAGCTTACGAATATGAGGAACCCGTTGTACAAGATACCAATCAATCGAATGGTAGCAAGATAATGCAAGACAGAGATCAGACAAATACAATAATTAATTTTGATTAAATTTGGAAAATACATATATATTCATAACTAACATTTTTTATGCTAGCTCTGAAAACTGAGACTGAAATTGGATAGCCAATGCATTTGTCTGCCTTAAATTTCCATTGTATTTCTGACGTATGCAAATAGCGATATTTGTTACGAATAGATTAAATGACAACAAATTAAGAATATCAAGTTGTTACGTATTGCAATGCAAGCAGCTGCATTTGTCATGAATAGAAACGACAACAAATTAAGAATATCAAGTTGTTACGTACTGCAAAGCAATGCGCTGTATCACCTACAGTTTAGGCCTAATCTGGGAGTGCTTTCTCTTGAAACGCTAACTCTATTATCAACGTTTTTTTGGCCAATGTCACGTGATATAATTTTAGTGATGAACGCACGAGGCAAATGTGATATAGTATGAGAAATTACTCTTGCTAGTTAAAATCGACATGATTCTTAAACGCAAATTAATTTAATTGAGAACAGAAAGAGTAATTGATTGATATACGAGTATTAAAACATAGGCGGGCGGGTATAGAAATGAGAATTAATATTTGGACCCCAGGCTTCAAATTATGGCAAATTCTAATACATTTCTATTCATGAACATTTTTCAAATTTGTTCAATTTGAAGTCGCTAAAATAATTTATCATATACGATTGAATTCATAATATGCAAATTCATCATACTTGATAAATTTATGAATTGAACTCATAACTGTTAAGAGAAATTATATGAATAACATAATTCGATAACTTCGAGGTACTGTGACTAATTGAGAAGAAGAAAAGGATTTTGAGTCAGTTCTGCACATCATGCACATTGAGACGTAAATACAATCTAAAAATGTCT